CACACCTTCCCTTCCCTTCCCACACCTTCCCTTCCCTTCCCTTCCCTTCCTTTTTACAGTTATCAAGAAAAAGAAAAAGAATGAGAAGATGATTTATATTTTTAATGTAAGACTGAGTGGGGGTAGAAAAATGGTATTCCCATTTTGAAATCTCTCTAATTCAGCCAGGAACAGGTGGAGAGTCATCATAGTTTATGGAGCACAGCTGCAACAAACTCATATTGACCAGCTCTGCTGAAGAGATGAACTACTATATTCTAGATAAGATTCAGGAGGTCATCAAGAATATGCATTTAAAATACACAACCTGACCTAGTTCAGAAACATACTTTTGAACGTGCAGTCCCTGAAGAATTGGTATATTATGTGTTTGCATTATATTGTCTGTATTCTCTACATCCCACATTTTGGATAGGTTTACATGTTTGTTCAGCATGGTACACCACAGTTAGCCAACCATAAAAAATATTGAATATTAAATACTCTATCAAGCCCTCCTACCCTGGGGTTATATTTGAAACAGTGAGAGGTCCAGCCACCCACAGAAGGCTTTGTTTAGTGGTCATCACAGATGGCTGCCCCCAAACCGATCTGATTCCTGCAGATGGTTCAGCTGAGGGCCTGACGCCCCTGAAGACTCGTCCAGGCTCTCCTGCCTGCCCTTTAGCTGGGCCCTTTAGCTGGGCAGCTGGAAAGGACCGGGTTTCTCCGCGGCTGCTGGACCAGAAGCTTTGGTTGCCAGCCCAGTCCGAGGGGCCAGGCCGCCGGGACGCTCCCCCCGCTCCCTCGGTGCTCTGGGCTGCTGTCAAGGCGTTTGTGAGGGCTGATGGCGGGTGCGCCAGGCTCCGGCCAAACCAAACACCTCAGCAAGGGGGTGAACACAGCCAGTCCCCTTTGCCAGCGCTACACTGAAGCGATTTTCCTGTCAGGCTTTCAGCTGAATTATGACTGATGGTCCAGCAGAAGCATTAAGGAAGATGGCCGAGAAGAAACAGGTGCAGCTTAGAAGGACAACATGTTTTCGGAGGCAGAAGCCAGGGAAGACAGGGCAGTGGGCCAGCTTGGAGGCACAGAGAGGGTGAAAGAGGCTGTGGGCAGCCCAGAGCGAGATGGCAGGAGACACCTGTATGCCGAGAGGCTTTAAGACGGGAGGGAGAGTAAGAAAATGTGTGGGAGCGACACTGGCGTGGGGAACACGGGGGGCGCCGCAGCCCGGAGACGGCCCGGAAGGAGCACGGACACTAGAGAGCCCGGCCCGGCACCGAGGCAGCGCCTGCAGAAAGCGCAGATGGCTGAGGGCAGGCCAAGCATGGCTCCGAGGCCGCCCGGGCGCTCCAGTGAGGGCCGGGGCGGCGCGGAGAAGGCGAGCCCCTCGGGCAGGCACAGCGTCCCGCTTGGCAGCCTGACAGCAGCGCTCCGAGCCCCCGGGGGCTGCCGAGGGACCTGCCCTGTGTCTGACCTCTGAACACACTACAGATGTTACGCTGGGGAGTTAACACGGGAGAAGGGACGTGCCCCGTTTGCTGTTCAGAGCAGCCAGAGAAGATGCGAAGCAATCCCGCAGTCCGAGGGCAGACATTGCTCACTTACTACGTTGGCTTTGCCAGTTTGGTATGTGTTCCTTCCTATACCTTGCAACTCTTTACAGTAACAAACCAATTCAGTGCTGCCTGTGAGGAGTTACAGCAAGGTACTGATATTTTCCTGGAGTTCACAGCCTGTGGAGATGGGGACCTCCATGGTGCACGGCCATGCATCTGTGTGCATTACCTGTGTGGTAGAGGCCAGGCTCTGAAGAGGCTGGAATCAGCTGTGCTGGGAGAGTGTTAACCATGTTGGGCAGAGCTGTGTCAGAAATGATGGGTTTTCTTGAGAGACCATCTAAAATGTTTTATTCTGAACATCAGGAATTGTTAATTTAGCTTAACATTCCTGTATTGACAGGATCTTTACAGTATAAAGGTATCTGAGCAGATACTAGCCAAACACCTCTAGATTCCCATAAGGTTATTGTCTCTTCACCTGTAGAAAAGAATAGTGAAAATTGAGACATTTTTACTTTTAGTGACTGTTGGTTCTGTATTAGGTTGTGTCAGCTGCTCTTCTGTGTTGGGACATGGCATGGAGGAGTGGGTGAGATCAGAGAACATTGTGTCTGCTGTGTACACAGTCAAGGTGGGAAGCTATGTAAAAATAGCACCAGTTGTATCTTCTGACCACCTTCCACCAGGTGGTTTATCTATTCACACTGAAGTGCTACAGGTTAGCATTAAAATTGGCTGTGGAGTCAACTGGTGAGTCTGATGTTACAGGATTGTTACACAGATGGGTAACAGGCCTGAGAAGGAGGACAGACATCAGCCTTGTGTTTATGTTGAACAAATAAGTTTTTATCTTAACTGTTTAACTGTTTAACTGTTTAACTTTGAACACCACACCCAGCCTGCTCTTCAGTAACTGCTGGTCAACATTCATAATCCAGTGATGAGAGAGGGGATTCTCAGTGTCCAGTGGGACCCAGCTTGAAGCAGGGGCAAGATGCTTACCTGTTCTTCACAGCCTGTGGACTCTCTAGAACCATCATGACCACCTGGCTGACTTGTTGCATCCCAAAGCATTTGAAACCTGAGAGATCTCAAACAATTCTTTAAAATTAAATGTGCAAAACTACATAAATCAAGCTGCTAAATGTAAAGCCAAACATCAATTTGACATGCACTTCAGCCAAGCTGAAGATGGTAACAGCTGTAGTCACTACTGGGTTCTCATTTTTTCTTGACCCTATTCATTATCCTATGGAAAGATTCATGTTTCGTTTCGCTACCATGCCAACCAAAATGCTAAGCCAATGGACATAGGATTGTTAAAGCTGGCAGGAAGTTCAATTGATTTTTTTCATTGAAATATAAAAGCAACTTCTAGTCCAGTTATGTGATGGAATCTGTAGGTCTTCTCTGGAATTCTGATAGCATATCTAGAAGCTGAGGTTTTGAGCCAAAAATGGTTTGAGGTAATTTTTTTCCCTAGCCAAATAAGGGAAGTAAAGATCAGTGTTTGACTTCAGAATGTAACACCCCACCCCCAGCTCCCCCCCTGGTTCTTGAGAATTTCTCTCTCTGAAGGTTTTTCCCCTTCCCCATTTTTTCATTTAATTATGGACGAAGTCCTGTATTCAGTGAAGTCAAAATATAACTGTGACCTTGTGTTTAGATAACTGGAGGGCACTTAGCTACAATTACATTGACATGAAGGTGAATAAGTCTTCTAATGTGATTACACCAAGTGTATGATTGGTTTTTTCTGTCACTTAAGAGAACTTTTGCAAAATATTGGGAGCTTAGGAGAGAGGAACAAAATGAGGAGAGAATACAGGGGATCTGGCAGGAGGAAGACGTAACAATCACTGTAAGGTGACAGAAGCCAGTGGTAAAATGATTACTGCTGTAATCATCCCCAACTGCTGTGGGAAGCTTAAGAGGTTAATGGCATGCAGCTAGGGATGTATGGAGTTTGCATGGACCCAGACCTCAGATCTGATCCAATTGCAGAGCAGTTCTAAAGAAAAAGACTATAAATCAGTTCAAAAATTCTAGTGAATCGTGCTTTGTGCTCATGGTTTGTGATCTAACCAGCAGTTCTTGATGGAATTACAACTGCCCTGCTCCCACTCACCTGCTATTTGCTCTGTATTAGGTTAACAATAGTAAATAAACCGTGTATTGGATTTCAAGCTGACCTGTTCATGCCAAATGAATTCGTCTTGCCCACAGGCTGTCCTAATTAAAAACATATGTATCGATTTAAATTCTGTTGCTTCCGTACATTAGGGTACTGTTTAGATTTTTTGCCTCATCAATGTTCTTTACCTTTTTGAATCGATGTGTAGTTTGTTAAGGATTTGGTTCAAAAGAGTTCTCAGGTAGATATGTGAAGGAGTAGTGTGTGTCCTGTGTGTCAGGTAGGTGGTGAAGGAGTAGAAGTGAGGTGCACTATGGTGATGTTGTATACCTGTCACCTGCAAACAATGGAAGACAGTTTGTCCTTTTACAGGCAAAGCCTCCATTAGCATCAAAGGAAATTTACTTTAATTGCAGAAAAGATTGGGTCCTTTTTTAGTGAAAATACAACTGAAGTCAGAAGAATGATAGTATGATGGTATATTTCTCATACAGCAGTTTAATATGACACAGATAGAAGTTTTCCATTTTTCCCAGACTTCTAAGGAGTGAAATAATTTTGTATGTAAAATAGATATGTAAATAGAGTTCCTCCTAAGAAGAAATTTAAAAAAAAATCAGAACCTCATGCCAGACTCTGAACCACAGATTTAGGCCTCTAAATAAGCAGCCTGGGCTTTTCAAAAGTGCTGAGCTCTGCCAACCCCCACTGCTCTTAGGATACAGCTTCTAAGGCTGGACATCATTTGGCTGCATGTTCTTGCAAAGAAATACTAAGAATATGCAGTGGGTCAGAGTGGCTCCTTATCTTTGTGCGGCGATAAGGGCTGCTGCTCCTCCTAGGAAACAGTGTCTTAGAAGCGGAAGGCTGCACTTCTTATCATTCAAGTATGTGCCAGAAAGGGGTAAAAATAGGGACGTTGAGGATAAGAAAGTTGAAACTAAGGCACCTGCTACCCACAGAAGGAAACTTTGGAATTAAATAAGTGAGAGTCTCTTCTGTTTTGAATACTGCAAATCTTCACTTATAGGAACAAATAATTTGCCTGTAAAAGCCTCTGAGATTACTGATATGAGAAAAGGCTTCCTGGATTTAGTTTCCTGACTTTATCATGCAGACAACATTCCATTTACTGAGTTTTACCGAAGTTGAAAATGTCAGAGTTGACTGAGAGAATTAGATTTCAAGAGCTCTTAAACTTTTGCAGGACATCCTAAACCCCCATTGAAAATCCTCTAGTTTGTGATCTAAATACAGTCAATTAAACAGAAAGTTTGAAATAAGGCATTGACTGACTGTCACCAGATAATGCATAGTTCATTCAATCTCACAATATTTTAATCCAGTATTCATTTTGCCATGATATATAATGCAGGCTATTTACAATGATTGCCATTCTTTAAATGCCAATTTTCCCTTAAAACAAGCAGCAACAACAACCAGCCCCATACCCTGCTCCAAACATGGTTTGCAATGGTCTTCATTTGCATCACTATTGTACAGATTTACACAGGACAGAAAAACTCCTATTCTTACAGATTCTGCCTTGTATACTACCTGCAGCCACATTCTGCCACTTTCATCCCTTCATAGTTATATATCAAAGTGGGCACACCAGCATCATCCTTGTAAAGAATGGAGATTGAATCCAGTTTGGTTGGAACACAACAGGCCTTGGAGGCTTTTTTTGGATTTTGGAGATGCACCAAAGTTTGGACAATAGCATGTTTAGTTGGGGTGACATTATCTGTCAGAGGGAAGAAGCAACCTCCTTTACACTCAAAAGCCTCATAATCTTTTGGTGCAATGATCCAGGAATCCCAGCCAATCTCTTCAAAGTTCACATGGAGGGAAGTTCTCCTGCAGTGGTTGGCTCCAACGCTTCTCTTGCTTCTGGAGGAATGCAGGTGGGATCCAGTGATGGCCTTTTCCTCTCCCAGCTGTTCTTCTTCAGATGAGGTTTTGTTCTTCCCTAGTTTCTTGAGCATGCTTTCCTGTTCATGAACAATCATCTCGCGGAGCTCCACTTTGGTCTCTTTTGTCCCATTGCTGCGGTCATTGGAGAACACTATTAACAGGGGCAGATTTTTAGTGTCAGGGGTAACACTGACATCCAGCTTCCCACAGGTAAAACCACTCAGAGCTTTAGTCTCTATAACAACCTCTAGCTTATTTTTAGTCTCCAGTTTGTCTGCCCTAACCCATCTTTTCACAGCGCTGGACACTTCAAACATCTTCCAACCACATTCCTGGATATTGTGGGAGACAAGGAAAGATTTGGTACTTTCTGGGTTTTCCCAGTGACCATCATCTAGAACATCATAAATTACCATGTTGCCTTCCAGCCTAGAGAGAGAGCCAACTTCCCTGTGACAGGAGATATAAATTCTCAGTTCAGCTCTGGTGATTTCCTCATAATGTGGAATAGAGATGTTGAAGAACAAAATGTGTTTCTGAAATGGGTTTTCTTCTGATGAATCTAAAGAAACAACATCTGCAATAGGAAATTAAAACATGTGGTTACAGTGCTTCTGTGACTGTCCAAGTAACTTGATTTTGAAAGACTTTAAAGCATATATATTGGGGATAAAATAAGAGCATGGTAACACAGCCTTAAAAAAAATAATCCTGTCTTCTGGCCAAGTTTCAAGGGCAGAGAGTGAAAAGAGGAAATGGAAGTCCCTAGTGTTGGTAGTATTTTACTGTGATTGCATAGCCAGGTGAGTGTGTGAAGGGAAGTATAAAGAAGGTGCCTAGAACAAACTATGGATGATGCTGGGCAGTATTATGCACATAAATAAGGCACTTGCAGAGTTTTCAGATTTAGCAATTTGCTAAAGATATTTTTACACAAAGCATTTGTAAAAATACCAGTGATTTCCTACTCTTATAATCGTGCATGGGATGAACTGCTTTAATATATATGTGTTTATATATATGTGTCTTTAAGAACTGGCTGTGCTGAGGCTTTTGTTGTTGTCTTCAGATAAGTTTGAAAGCAGCTTAGACTGGGAGTTTGGGGAAACAGAAAAGTTTCTGAAAGTCCTGAATTGAAGCTCTAGTGTCTATCTGAACTGGGACGTAGTGATAAACAGCCTTTCATGCCCACATCCCAGACTATTCCAGGCTGGACTCCCTGAGTTTGTGTGGATTTGTTCACCCTTGTTAGTTGTCTACAAATCTTCGTGCAGTGCCAGCAGCTCTACCATGGGAGGGGCAGATATTTGGCTGGAAGATCAGATAGGTAGTGGTTAAAAGTCATCCCTGATGTTTAATGCTCAATGCAAACTAACTGCTTAATCATGACTGGATTTTAGGGCAGTTTTAATTGGCTGTTGCTGCTATTTCTTCAGATCATTTACCCTCTAAAGTAGTCAGAGGGGAGAGTGAGATATGGAAACTATAATCATGGTGCTATTTTTGAGATTTTTATTTCAGGATCTAGGGACACTAATTTGGGAATTTGGAATTCTCCCTCGTGCTGTTACCTGTGTATGTCTATTTTTCATATAAACAGAAATTTCATTTCTCCCTGTTTCATTTTTATAATTAGGAGTGCACTTCTAGTTTTTTTACTGCCTGATGGATCTTTTAAAAGTCTGTTTAATGTTTCATAGACAGAGATCTTGAATTTTTTCTGTTCATGACTTATATTTATTTCCATATAAATCTTTGTCTAATCCAGAATTTTGGAGGAGCAGTGCTGTTCCTTGCTTGGAGCCAGTGACAAATTTCTCAGTTGGTTGCTGTTGTTTTTAAATATGTACAGAGCCCACCAGAAAGAAAAGCTCTCTAGCATCAGTCTCAATTATAGGTGATCAAAAACTTGCCTGCTAACATAAAAACTCAAACCAAATATCTAGGATTGCCTAACATGCTTCATGTAAACCTTGTTATTTGGTGCATTGTCTTCAATCATTTGAGAAGTGAATATTGTACAGTGAAAATATCAAATAAGAAAATGAAAGGTAACTGCATTTTTTAAAGACTGAAAGAAACTATGGAGTAAGAATTCAATCCAAAATTTTAATGTTTGATTTCTAAAGAATCTGTGGAAATTAGGAAATCTGTTTCCTCCGAACTTCAAAAGAATCTGACTATTTACTATTCATGTACTTCTTTAAAAATTGTAATCCACAAATTGAGGACTTTTCCTACCTTCAGTACTGAAGCTCCTTACAATATTGGATGCAGGGATGGAGGACTTGTCTGCAGCATATCTGTTGTATAAATCAATCATGAACTGTGGTGGTTCTTCTTTGGTCTTCACTTGTGAGGGGACTCTTGACAAATTCAAACTCCGTAGTAGATCCATCTTCATATTCTCCAAGAAAGATTTGAAGTTGAAATGGGTCTCATCTTCTACTTCCCCAGGATCATGAAAGTGTGCATCAGACTTTCCCATAGCTGATAGCCTGCTCCAGTCTTCCAAAGGCTTGCCTCTTGTCAAACAAGCAATGATGTTAAAAACAGACAGTGCAGCTAATACACCAAAACAATGCATTTCTTCTGTATTTAGTTTCTGGTGGAGAGACAGGAGGACAAGGGTATTTTAGCTGATTGCCAGTCTTGTTTCAATACAGACAGAGGAAAGAAGATGTAAGGCAAACAACTGGAATGCACTTTGCAAATCACTTTCTTGTGTTCTTTTTGCAGTCTGCCTCAAACCCCAGCCTCTTGTCAGTTGTCAAGCAGATTGGTCGTACACTTGTCCTTATCAGAGTCATTGATGCCATGCTTCAGCTTCTGTTATCTAGCAAAGCTCTTAGTTAATGAAGATTCTGTAAACATCTGACAAACACATGTGGCTGGTGGGAAGGACATTGTATATTGTAAAGAATCCACATTTCACTTTAGGGTCATCTTTTGCTTAATTACATTCTTCTATCATTTCCTTGCCAACACAGAGAGAAGCTTTCTTAGGGATGCAGAAGTTTGCACTGTTTTCAGCAAGTCTGGAAAATACGGATCTAGAACAAAATCACTCTATTAGCTACTAGCAAATAATACCTCACAAATCTTTTATACGTTCCCTTCACATACAATCAGAAAATGCCCATTAGTTTGATGGAGACCTATGATTCTGCAAGACATGATCTCATGACATTACAAGCAACCTTAAAACTTCTCTTCGTTTATCAGCCAAGGGCTATTGTTTGTACACAGTGAAATATCTGTTTTGTGTCAAGTGCTTCATGTTGTTTGCAGGCTTTTCCATTTTCAGTTTGATTCCTTTGTGTATGGGAATTTAGGCTTGTTTTTATAGTATCTTATGTAATATATTTCATAGATTTATGATGGTCAATCCAGGCCAAAAACAACCAGCCATTTTTTCAGCAACCTCAAAATGAAGACAGAACTAGGCCTTCCAAGACCACAGGGAAAGTAAAAAATCCTTTTGAAGATACAGATTATCTCTGAAGATATTGTGTGCATTAGAAGAACAGGCCAAGGCAAAATAATCTCTCATAATACGGAAAAAACCCCAGGTTTATTTATTTTAATGAATGTATTAATGATTTAATCTAATGATACATAACTGTTTTTTCTGTACTATTAATGCATCATTTTTTCTAAGAACTCAATTCATGCTCTAGGCATCCCAAAAACTGAAGAGTATTATGAGCTTTCACATTAACAAAAATCTCATTGCAAACATGTGGTCAAGATTTTGCCTTTTTTGGCCATTCCTCTTGGTTTTTTTAGCAGTAGATACACAGCATTTGGAGTGATCTGAGACTTCTGCAATGCTTGCTTATTGTGTTTTCAAGTGATAACTTGAATCCAAGATCCTGGTTAATTATGATCCTAAGACATAAAGTTAAAAAGGATTATTTGGCATTGATCCTGATCTCCTGCATAGCAAGAGTTATATTTACTCAGGCCCTCTGTATTTCCTACCTATATGCAGAGTCCAATTACTTTTGTTTGGCTAAACATAACTTTTTTAGTGCCAACAGACTTTTTCTGAACATGTCAAAGAATCAAAAGTTTCTTCACTTTTTGTAGCCAAAAGATTATCACCTACAGCTACAAAACCCTTCATGCCACATTAATTATTTCATTGTGCCCGACGTTACCTTCTAGACAGGAATTCTTGTAACGTTCTGGCTACTTTAAGGAATCTCATAGCATTGGCATTTTTTCCCTATCGAAGTTCTTGCACAGTGTAATCAAGTTACTTCTCAGTTTTCTTTCTGATAAACAGATTGTTCTTTTTACTAACAAAAGACATTTTCTCTCCGTGTTTTGGTTTCTTTTTTTGTGTCTCTTTCAAAATTTGAATGTCTTCTTGAAAAGGTGAACCCTAAGGCTATACATAGTTTTCTAGCGGTAATCCGCCACATGCCACATGCAGAAATAAAATATCCTTTCTTTATGTGGTTCACTGCTCCAATGTCTATATTTCCAAAGCTTTCACTGGCTGCCATTATATAGCATCATACTGGATGCTCAAACTGCATCACAGATACATGGCAGCCACAATTTTTTTGTATGAATTTCAAGGGTCTTGAAGTACAAGCAGTCTTGTACTCAGTAGGAGCAGCTTCTATTCTTTGTACCTAGGTACCTGAAGTTCTGCATCTGTCTACTTTAAAATTAATTTTAATTACATGAAGTGCAGTTAGATCAAACGATCTATATAAATGCCTCTCTCCTCCTGCAAATGCTTTGGAGGTTGCTATATACAGACTCTAGGTTCATACATGAAGGTGTCAAATAGTGTCAGGCCAAGTGTCAGCTTTGCAGAAACTTTACAATGAACAGTTTAACTCAGTGGAAATTCCTTTTGAAAGCTGTTCTTTGAGGTTTGGCAGTGAGACAGATTTTAATTAATGTGATACACATTACTTACACAAACACATTAATATTGTCCAGTGGTTCATTTTAATTATGCAGCCTCGTGCAAGTGAATTGAATACTCCACAAAAACCTAGGAACATTGTAGCTTTTGCTTTTATCCCTGGCAATTAAACAGTGGCCTGAAAGAATGAAATTGAATTTGTTTTAGAAAAAAAGGTTTTAACATTTCGCTGGCTAGTATCAGCTGTTTTCATGTTTTATCTGTCTTTACTCATACCATTTTCTTTTAGGATTAGTTAGTGGAATTATCTTGACCTGTTTTATCTCTAGTAACTTTCTCTAGAAACTTATAAGATGTTCAAAGAAATAAAAAGTTCTGTTGGAACCAAGACAGTAGGGGTATCAGCTCTGGCAGCAGCTGTCTCCATTTGTGCCATTTCAAATGCAGAGTTTCTCTTTCCAAAGGAAGATTAGACATCCAAATACCAAAGATCCAAAATGGAGTAACTTAAACCACGAAAAGTGGTTGAAAGCATTTTTTGCATTGAGGAATTGACCAGTACAGCTGAACTCTAAATGAAATGAGCTTTACCAATAAGAGATGTGTATGACTTGTGTAGCAAAGGTATGTTTTGAGAGCAATGACACTTACAGGTGTAATATATATAGTTTTGCCAACAGAACTTTAAATGCAGTTTTAACATCTTAGAGTTTTGTAGGTGTCCTTATGAGTAGCAGTAGCATTTTTTCTTATGTCCTATAGACCTTAGATCACAGTGTGGTATCTCTTGCCATAATAGCTTGCATCATTAAAAAGAATGTTTTTATCCAAGTACTAATTCAAGATATGGCAAATACTCCTTAAGAAAAAAAAAATGCTATAGATGAGAATATAAGCACACTAAGTTAATATGTCAGGCTGTTAAGAGCTAGTGATAAATGAGAGCAAGACTAGACCTACATAAGAAGATAGATTTTTATAGAGAACAGAAATAACATGGATTTAAGATGCTTTGAAAAATGTTAGGCTTATGGCTGTTCTATGGGAATGACGACTTTCTGACAAATTTTAAATGTTTCTTTATACATTAGCATTACTCTGTCAATTGTAGTTCAGTTTCTCGTGACTTATAAAACCACAAAATTGTAATTTTTTTAAGGCAGATCTCTAAAAGCAACATTATACAAAGGTTTTTCCCAAGAGTTCTGGTGTACCTTACTGTAGTAATTTACAAAGTACAAAAGTACTTTGGGAAGAAGAACTGCAAACTTGATCAGTGATCTTTTGTCAGGTGTAACTGGTAGACAGGGCACCATAGAGCTATTTACTTCTTAGTCAGAGCTTTCTAGGAGGAATTAGGAAGAACTGCTGTGAAAGTAACCTTGCAAAGCTTCTCATGCATGCTGAATCTTGCTTTTATGCACGTTAGCAGGAACTACCACATTTACACGCCTCTGTTGTCTGAGAATCTGCACCACCTGAGCATAGAAAATTGGTGGCAGAAGATACCTAGAACCTTAGTAGGATCGGAGCCTTCTAGTTATTTGTTCATCAGAAGGAAGTGCGTTTAATATCCTTCCCTTAAACAAAGCAGCTCTTAATAGGATAAGGTAGTGCCTAAGGTTAGTCTGTTTCTTGAGGAGGAAGCACTCCATGTCTTATAATCTGTGATACTTTACAGACTTCAGATGTTTCTTCCACTGTTGGTTTCTTTATGGTATTGTACAGCAGGTGGGTGAAAATGAAGTATGTGGCAAGTATGTCCTAGAACATGGGGACACTAAGAGGATTGACAGACACCATGATGGGAACACCAGCTCTTAAAAGACTGCTGCAGTTAAAAGGCTACCATAAATGTATCAACAGGGGATTGTGTAGGAGTTAGAGGGATGCAGAGACTTTATTTCTATAAAGACTTCCAATGGAACCACTGCCAAATGTTTCCCATTTTGATGTTCATTGTTTGAAAAGAAAGTTAATGAAAGTTCTGGAAAGAGTTCAGAAGAGAGCTGTGAGAAATTGTTTTAAGGCTTAGAATAAGAAATCAATCTATTTAAATCTTAGCCAAAATGTAACTTGACCCTACTCTCTATACTAAAAATACACAGTGAAAGTATCTTGGATAATAGATAAAAGGGATCTAATGAAATAGGTTACAGTGAGATCCATTGAATTGAAGCTAAAGCTCATCAAATTCAGTCTAGGATTAAGCCACTGCATATGAACAAAGAGCACTAACTTTTGGAACAACTACTTGTAGTCCAGTAGAGATATTCTATCACATGAAATTCTTAAAAGCCAAATTTATGCATGTTTTTCAAAGATATTCCCAAGCTTAAAACAGAAGTTCCATAATGCATGGTGCAGAAACTGCTGAGCAAGGTTCTTTGATCTGTGCTATGCAGGAGGTCGGTCTGGATGATCATAGTATTTCCTTCTGTCTTTAATCTATTGAAGTGCATTATGACAAGCTTAACATGTATTTACTAGTTTCCATCTAATTAACAGAATGCAGGGGAGTGCATTTATAGAAAGACAATCAAATATTTTTAGATACTACTGTACCTTTAATTTATTAGCTTTTGTTAAAAGCATGTAACAATCTAGAGGATATAAAGCATAATTTACAAAAATATAAATCTTGGTTATTTTATTTTTAGTATTTCAACATACTACTATATTGTATGTGTTATTCTGAGAATATGTTTAACAACCTGAAATTATCCAGCAAACCAAAAATGTGGGATATTACATGTCTGTTGTAGAACAAATTATATATTAAGGAAGGGCAACCAAAAAAGACTATATTAACATATTGTTTATATGAAAACTTATGCAGTGAACTATACTTGCATCCCAAAGAAAATATACTTTTTAAGCCTTTTATTACAGCATTTTTCAGTATAAATATGCATATTAAGAGTATGAGTGTTTTAG